CAAAGAGGGCAGAAGGAGCGGTGCTTACAGGACCTATCATCAAGGACAAGGCCCTCCAGCTTGCTGCTGGAGCTGGACTCGGTGATTTTAAGGCGAGTGATGGTTGGTTCAGCAGGTGGAAGAAACGATTCAACGTTACATACAAAAAGGAGCGTGGAGAGCAGCAGTTGAGGGGCAAGCTGTCAGCAGCTGTGCAGTGGCAGGCTGAGAGACTTCCTCAGGTCCCTGAGAAGATTTCTCTAGCTGACATCTACAGTGTGGACAAGACTGGGTATTACTTGAAGGAGCTCCCTGGCAGTGGACCCAGAATAAAAACAGAGAAGCTGGAAGGTGGTACTATTTCCCAAAACAGAGATTGTCTTGGTCTCTCTCCTGAAGAATGGCGGGATGTAAAACCAAAACTAATTTCCAGCTGCTTCAGAAGGGGCAAAGTAGTAAAGTTCCATGCGGTGCCAGGGGAGGAGGAGGAAGATAGGGATGCAGAAGAAAGTGCTGCCCCCCGGAACAATATTTCACTCACGAGTAAAATGACAAAAGAGAGTGTGGCAGATGCTGCAGCTAGGGATGAGGGCTTGCCCGGGTTTGGAGAGCCAAGTGTTGGGGAATTCCTTGGCACCGCTGCCACTAGACCAGAGAAACATCCATGGGTTGAAAAGACTGATGATAAGGGGACGGAACAAGTGGGTGAGCATGATCTTGATGAAGTTCTACCTCCCACAAATGCAGATGTGTTGAAGGCTTTGAGCATGGTTTGGCACTTCTCACGGCAAGAAGGGCTGGGAGACAAGGTTTATAGGTCCCTTCAAGACATCAAATCCCATCTCCAAAACAAAATGGCAGCAGAAGCAGAGCAGATTAACAGAGTTCTTCCCCCAGATTGGGTTATACCTTGAGTTGATCCTTTTCTGATTTCAGCAGCGTGGGATTGCAGTGAGCTTTGTGGAGCATGACTTTACTTTAGCTTGTGTTGGTTGTCAATAGTGGTGGCTTGGTGGTCGTTTGAACCTAAAAATAAAACTTGAAAATTTTTATGGTGTAAACTTAATCCATGCTGCCCTTGGCTACCTGTTTTACATATCAGAAAACGGGCTGCTCTTGGTTGGGCACATCCAGTAACAGCTGCTTTAGGAACAATATAGCCCCAAGGCACTGGCACATTGCTACTAACAGGCGTCGACTGTAATAGAAACTTCCTGTTATAAGTTACTATTGGTATGTAACATGCTTAAACTGTAAGTTTTGATGACCTTTTTGAATTATTGGCCCTAATTTTAGACTGGACACTGAAGCTAGATTGGTAATTTCATCTTGCACAGAAACACAACAGTGCAATTTTGATTGTTTATCTCAGGGGAAATTTAAAATTCAACTTGTAAAGTCTCCTCGTGGAATTCAAAGACTTTCTGGGTACTGTTTTCTTTGTACCTTATGTCTACAGCCTGCTTCTTGACTCTGAGCTCTGAGACCATCTCCCTCTTCTGTTTGAAAAATGCTCAGCATGTCTTTCTTTCAAGTGTGTCCACTTTTTCATTTCTCTAAGCCTTAAAGAACAGGTGACTGACCATCAAAGATACCTTCATAACGCATGGATTATTTTCTTTAGAATTGAAATTGTCTAACATCATTGTCCAGGGAGGTTTGCTTGGAACTCGAATTTTCCAGTTAATGTGTGAAATGGTCAGAGCTCCCATGTTGTAAATGGACTATTTCTATGTTTTATAAGCGTGTAATACTTTCTAAGCACAATAAAATTCATTTGCACGTGAAGAGAACAGCATTAATGTCGTCAAATTTATTGAGGATAGCTAGCAGCTACCTTTGCTATCCTTAACCTAGTAGTTTCAGATGTTTGCATATTAATGTTGGTTTGTACTTTGGCACAGAATGGGGCCATTGTTTGTGCATTAGTGATTCAGAGACATATATCTCTGCATTTAAATAATTACTGTGGATAGATGCCACTTCAGTTAGTTGGCAAGGCTACATGCATGATATTTCCTTTCCTTATTGCCTATTAATAATCAATTATTACCCCATTGAGACCTAAATTTGAGTGCTGTGTCATAATTATGCCAGAAGGAGGCAGGCAGGAAGTGTTATGCTGCTTTATAGTCTGTAACCATAAAGAAAGGATACACACAGACCTTTGTAGCAGCTGAACGAAGTGGTAAGTTGGAGAGGAGGGGGAGTGTTTTTTTCTGCATGGAATTATTTTTCTCTTAGACTCTTGATTTGTGTTAAGGCTTTCACGCACCCAGTCCAGCACTTACCTTTTAAAGTAGTGGGTGCATTTAAGGACTTTTCAATTGCAGTTTAATCTTAATGCATTAATATAGCAACTGTAATACTCAGCTGTTAAAGCACTCCATTCCCCACAACTGTCTCAACAATGAAATTATGTGGAATCTTGTAGACACGCTTGTTCGTTTACTCTGATCGTATGTTTCCAAATGTGTATTGTGAAGAATTACCCCAAAATAAAGGAAAAGGCATTTTCGACTCATAGCTTAGCTGTCTGGTACAGCATCATTTCAAACCCTGCAAAAGTTGATGGTGCATGCCACAGGTTGGTACTACCACAATGAAATTATTGAATCAGCATGGTAGACTGAGTAAAAGAAAATACAGTTTCTCTTTTCCCAGCTAAGATGTTGGCTTAAGTTTGGTGTGATGCCCTTTCAGATGAAAAGAAGTGGGTTATGTAGAAGTGAGATGTTTTGACCTAGTTGGTGATAACATAAGACTCAGACCCAAAGACCCTGTCTTCCCCACCTCCATGCCCAAGCCCAGGAGTGCTGCTGTGAATGAAGCCCATCTTGGGGCTCAGTGCATTGGAGCAAGTAGACACATCCTGGAAATACGTCCTTGTACCTTTCTAGGGCAGTGCTGAGCTCCTCTCAGGACTGCCCATGGGCACTCACTGTCATGAATGCTTTTCGGCATACACTCTGGGCCGCTCCCAGGTTCCTGCGTAGCTTCAGCTGCAGGATTTGGCACCAGAGCAGTGGGAGTGACTGCTTTGTGATGGGCCTGCCAGATGCACCCCAGCGGCTGTGTGGACTTACATAGCAAGTCTGTCCTAAGTACTTGTTAAAACCAATTGCATTATTGCTTGACTCTCCCCTCTCTGCTTACATGTCAGCACATCCTCATCCTGCGGGACCTTAATCGGGAAGTAAGGTGTTGGGATAGTTGTGAAACACCTGCTCCGCTCTGCTTGTGATGGGGGAGTGGCCCTGCACTGCTGCTCTCCTCCAGGTGATGAGAGATGCATGGGTTATGACTACACTTAGCATTCTGAAACTCCTGAAGGCTCTGTAATGACGAATAGCCTGACAAAATCTGACTGTGCTAAATGCTGGAAAATGTCCTTATTAAATGGGCATTACTGGGGCCAAAGGTGCCATTAACCAAGCGGGTAGCTGCTGGCTGCAAAA